TCCTTATTTTTGGTCATTTCTTTTGACAGCACCCCAGCAGTCAGTGACTACTGTAAAATTGCTTTGGGTCCTAAACGGGGTCCTACTATTACTGAAAAAGAGGTGCTGACGTGTATCCTCTGCCAAGAAGAACAAGAGGTGAAAATAGAAAATAACGCCATGGTATTAGCAGCCTGTGTCCAGAAATCTACTGCCTTAACCCAGCACAGGGGAAAACCTGTAGAACTCTCAGGGGGTATGTATTGCTTACTATCCTTTTGAGCATTCCTTTTTATACCTGTGTAATTAGAGAAAAGTATTATTAGCCAGGTGTGTTGGCACAGGCCTGTAATCCTAGCACTTGAGAGGCTGAGGCAGGAGGATCGATATATGAATTTGAGGCCCAGTCTGGGCTACAAAGTGAGTTCAAGACCAACCTGAACTGCATAGTGAAACCCTGTCTCAGAAGGACAAAGGAGAGGAGAGTGGAGGGATGGAAGGAGGGAGGGAGGAAGGAAAACAAGGAAAGAAAGAAGGAAGGGAGGAAGGTAGAAAGGAAAAGTTGTTTGACAGGCCTTTGGGATGAAGTTGTATTTAAGCTAATTTAGTCAGGTCGCAATTTATTTGTATATAAAAAAAGACCAGGGTTTTTACTTGACATATGACTACTGTGCTTTGGTTTTGTTGTTTTTAAATTTTAATTTTTGTTAGCATATTGTTTGTTTCTAGCACCTTGCTTATTCTAGCTCTGTGTCTCTCTGGTTTTATAGTATTTGTTTTTGCTGAACCATTTGAAAGTAGGTTGTAGGCATGAATATCTTACTCTTAAGTATTTTTGCATAGATTTTCCTTCTGACTTTTAGAGACAGAGTCTCATGTCGTTCAAGCCAACCTTGAACTCACCATGTATCCTAGGTTGGCCTTGAACTTGTGATCCTCCTCCCTCAGCCTTCCAAGTGTTGGGATTACAGGTATGCACCACCTTTCTTAGCTAGGTACATTTCTAAAACTAAGAATGATATATTACATATCTGTTGTAATATTAGCATATTTTAAAAATTAATAATTCAAAGATATCTAATGTAAAATCTGTATTTCTGTAACTTCTCAAAATATCTTCATAAGTAGTTTTTTTCCCCCCACTCAGGATCTAGTTATGTTTTCATGTGTTACTTTAAGCTGCTCCTGATTTGTTTTAATCTAATTATCCTTTGATTTCTTTTTCATGATAATAACTTGTTTGAAGAACTCAAGCCAGTTGTGATATTATGTTATGCATTTATAAATTTTTCTGATTGTTGCTTTATGATTAGATTCATTATAAAAATTTACTAGGTAAAAATACTACTTAGGTAGTGTAGTTATTACATTTACATTATATCTCAGGGTCAGGGAGATGGCTCAGCAGAATAAGCGCTTGCCTGGCAAGTGCAAGGACCTGAGTTCAATCCCCAGTTCCACCAAAAAAAAAAAGAAAGAAAGAAAGACTTTTTAGGGGCCGGGGAGATGGCTGAGTGGAATAAGCACTTCCCTGGCAAGCACAAGGGCCTGAGTTCAAAACCCAGTTCCACCAAAAACCCCAACCAAATAAACACTATTAGTAAATTATATCTAGAGAGAGCTGCTTTGTATTTAAATGTCCTTAAAATAATAATAATAGTGATAATAAAAGTTCACATTTACTGAATACTTAACATATGCCAAACACAGATTACATGCTTAATCCTCACAACAACCCTGTGAGTTAGTCACAAATATCAGCTCCATTTAACAAGTTAAGAAAACCAAGACATAGGAAAGTTAAGAAATTTGCCCGGGGTCAGGGAAATGGCTCAGTAGAAGAAGCACTTGCCTGGCGAAGGACTTGAGTTCGATCCCCAGTTCCACAAAAAAAAAAAAAAATGCCCAAGCCATGAGTTTTATGAAACTAGAATTTCAAGTCCTTAGGTTAGTGATGACAAACCTTTGAGAACTTTTGATTATAGCAACAGTCTGCAGTGGCACACATGCCATAGGGTCGCCACCACTGCCCTAATCTGTGCTCTTTTCCACTGGATTATAATGCCCCTCAAAATCGATTAGAATGCTCATGTATTCAAGTGACTCAAAAATCACAAAGGTAAATTATTGTTGAATCATAGACAATCACAACGACAACCAAGGTAATATAATTTAAACCTAATGTATGTAAGAGGAAATTGAAGTTGTCATTCATCCAAACTAATTTTAGAAGCTTACCTGATAATTGTGTTTTATATCTTTCTATTTAGAATAATGTCCTGCTGTCATAGGGTAGTGGCGTTAACCAGGGCTGTGTCCCATAAAGTTGAAGATTGAATTGTGGCCAAAGGAGGTAGCCAGGAAGAGTGTTTACTCAGAAGAGAGCAAGAACTCACAGTAGTTGTGAGGAAAAGCAAAAGTGGTTTACCAAGGGGATTTTTTTGTCCAGGTTTTACATGAACAATGACCAGGCCTTAGACCACTCAAAGGCAAACTAATGTCAACTTATAGATCTAAAACAAACTTAAACTAGAAATGGCCCTATGAGGAGTTGAAACACATAGCAAGCATATGTCTGCAGGTGCTTCTTGGTTTCTATTTAATTTGATTTACTGAAAGAACAAAATGGGAAGGAAAAAGTGTTTTCTGGGTTGTAGGAGCAGAGGTTGTCATATTGGCTGTCCATTACCTTGCTGTTACCTCACTTGTTACACTCCTGGGCTTAACTGTTCGCTTAGTTCTTCCTCACTTTTGACTTCAGGCTGCTGATTATCTGGGCAAGGCCTGGTCATTCTGACTCTACCTTGGGCCCAGCACCTCATTAGCTTCTAGCTATCTTCAGTCTAATTTGCCTGTCTATAATAATAGTATCGTGACATTTAGACATTCTTAAGAAATCAGAGTTTGTGATTAGGAATTAGACCTGATAATCTTTCTTTCCTACTCCCTTGTATAACTTTGGAGGAAAAGAATACATGCTTCTTACTTTTGTCTTTCTGAACCAGAAACCCTGGACCCACTTTTCATGGATCCAGACTTGGCATATGGAACTTACACAGGAAGCTGTGGTCATGTAATGCATGCAGTGTGCTGGCAGAAGTAAGTTGCCCTTCTGACATGTTCTTGAAAGAGACTAGGAACACTGAAGTTCACTACAGGCCACAAAAAGGCATGTTTTCTCATGTCTTCTTTCTTTTCTTATTATTAGAATAATTGAAGCAACTTTAATTACTAATTCTGTTTGCATGGTACTAATTATTATAAGCCTTGGAATTTGTATACAAAGTTATCAGTTTAAGATTTTTCAAGGGCTGAGAGTGTACCTCAGTAATAGAATACTGGCTTGGTGTGTGCAGGCCCTGCACTGCAAAAAACAAAACAAAATAAAAATAATAATTCATTATTCCTTTGCGCTTGCTTTCCAAAAGCTGATCAGAGAGAGAGAGAGAGAGAGAGAGAGAGAGAGAGAGAGAGAGAGAGAGAGAGAGAGAGAGAGAGACACACAGGGTGGAAAAAAAACAGTAATCTTCATTTTTTTTTTTTTTTTTTTTTTCTGTTCTTTTTTTTTTCTTTTTTTGCGGAACCGGGGATTGAACACTGGCCCTTGCGCTTGCCAGGGAAGTGCTTATTCCACTGAGCCATCTCCCCGGCCCCAGTAAACTTCATTTTTAAAAATTATCTGGCAATATATAATGGCAAAGTACCATTGAGGTAGGACAAGAAGTTGTAGTTTTATCTCTCGATAAATAATTCTGGAGAAATAGCTTGTATAGATTTAACCCATTTGCCATTGGATTAAAATACATAGCTTTTCTTTGATAGCTCTCACTACTGAAGCTGGTCATTGAAAACTGAGGGAATAGTATCTACAATCGTCTCCCTGCCATTGAGGCAGGAAAGGAGTCAGGAGTCAGGAGATTTACTTTGAATTTTTATTTGCTGTGAACCTGTTTTATAACTTGTATTTTTGTGTATAAGCTCAAAGATGTTTATTGGGACAAGAATTCTAGATTTTTTTTTTTTTTTAACTTGGATCAAAACAAAAAGATGTGTATAGCTCTCACTGGCTATTTCTCGTGACTTCGCAGGTACTTTGAAGCTGTGCAGCTGAGCTCTCAGCAGCGCGTGCATGTGGACCTGTTTGACTTGGAGAGTGGGGAGTACCTCTGCCCTCTGTGCAAGTCACTGTGCAACACTGTGATCCCCATTATCCCGCTGCAACCACAAAAGATAAACAGGTACGTCTTATTGTAAGTCTTGGGTTTAATAATGAGATTTTAAGACCATTTTTGGTCTTTAAGAAAATTAGGAGTTCATCTACTCAGATCAACAAGTTCTGTATATATATTTTCAAACCACCGTTACAGTAGAACCCAGATATCTGTCTTAGTACTCACAGAAAGAGAAAAAGTATGGAAAAACAGTTCAGTCTTTTTATGTGTCCCTTTCCCACCATCATATTAATGTTATATAGCTCTTTTTTTTTTGTATTTTAGGGAAGAGTCTACAGGATGTTTGGGGTCTCACTGCTAGATCAGACTCGTAGTGATACACCTGTTTACAGCCTCCCAAGAGCTGGGATTACAGGCGTGCACCACCACACCCAGTCTCAATTGCCCTCTCAGTTTGCCCCAGGGATGGGGCTGGCACCAGCACGGCAAGCCCAGGGATTGAACCCCAAACCCCTGCGCCTGCTTTCAGGCACTTTAATCCGCTAAGCTATTTGGTCAGCCCCATGTTATATAGCTCTAAAGGCCTTTATATTATTTTCTCAAATTTACCATTTTTCTAAAGATCCAAACGCTATAGTTTTATTTTTTTTAATATTTATTTATTTTTATTTATTACATTTATTTATTGTGTGTGTGTGTGTGGCCAGCTCAGCCCACCAGGGGGCGGGGCTGGCT